GAATAACATCTGCCTATCTCAGGTCCTTGGGAAAGACTCAATAGGTAGATAAAAATGCCAAATCCAGTTCAAACATCTGGCTGACTGCAACAACCTATAATAATTTATTAAATTTAAATGCTGCCCAGCTTAAAGTGACTCCCAAGAATGTATCTGGAATACTACTATCATTTGAAATAATTTCACAAACATCCACTTATTGAGTTGAATGAGAGCTGTGGAAGTCTAGCACTAGATGCATTACTATTTTTTTTAGTATTCTAATCTTTCATTTCATTTTTGTTAGTTTGCTTTTATTTGGCCCTACATTTTATTTATCTATATAGGTATTTTACTATTTATTCACCAAGGGCAATATAACTGACACAATAGTACCCTGTTTCCCTGAAAATAAGACCTCCCGGTATAATAAGCCCAGACTTTTGAGTGCATGCACTAAAATAAGCCATCCCCTGAAACTAAGTCCTCCCCAAAAATATTCCAACAGAGCAGCAGCCATGAGGTAGCCATACTCACCTCCTCATGCACCTCAAAAATAATAAGACATTCCTGAAAATAAGGCCAAGTACTTATTTCAGGGTTCAAAACGAAAATAAGACCCTGTCTTATTTTCGGGGAAACATGGTACTTGTTTATTTTAAAACCAATCTAAAGTCCCCATCTAATACTTGATAATTAAATAAACAATTAAAACTTAATGAGACCAATTAATATAATTAAAGTGTATTTTCTGATTTAGGTTTATAGGTTTATAGGTTTATTAACATTTATAGGCCGCCCTTTTCCCTGAGGGGACTCAGGGCGGCTTACATAAAATCAAGGGAGGGAAATTCAAACAATAACGTAAACAAACATAGAGTAAAATAATGAGCAACATTCATTCATCATTCGGGAGGGGCAATTATCTTTGTCCCCAGGCCTGACGGGCTAGCCAGGTCTTAAGGGCTATGCGGAAGGCCTGGACGGTGGTGAGAGTACGAATCTCCACGGGGAGATCGTTCCAAAGGGTCGGAGCTACTACTGAAAAGGCTCTCCTCCTTGTAGTTGCCAGCCAACACTGGCTGGCAGATGGAACTCGGAGGAGGCCCAATCTGTGAGATCTAATTGGTCGCAGGGAGGTAATTGGCAGAAGGCGGTCTCTCAAGTAGTTATTCTGAACTAATTTATGTAACAATTGGTGATGAGTCTATCAGATATTTGCATAATGCAATATTATTGCATCAAGTAAATATAATGATTTTAGTAAATCTATAATATAGGACCAGTAGAGCTCCAAAGTTAAGAATAGGCATTCTCTATATGAAACAGGATTCAATTTTTATTTTTTTTAAAAAGCTTTTACATTTTATTACAAATAATTTCCTCAATTGATAAAATTGCTAAATGACTTTTCTAAACATTCAGTACATTTGTATTTACTTAGGCAAATATTTGTATTGTGCCTATTCACAAACCTATAGTCACCCCACAGTAATAAAACATAACTGAAATCACAATAATAACCCATCACTGCTATTGATTTCATGGGGGTTCCCTATATCAAAGCCCCATGGAAAAGCATAATTTTTCCAGCTGTCTTAAATGTCAAATGATTTTTGGTTGAGTCTTCCTTTAAATATGTAGAAATCATTTGTTTTGTCTTTTTCTGCATTCCCCTTTTATTTCTGTTCATTAGAGCTATTCAAATTTATGTAGTGATAAAAAGATAAAGAAAAATAGGGCAGAAATAAAAACAATTTGGATCTTTCTCGGTTTAATGAGAGAATTCAAGACTATTCAATTCTCTCTAAATGAAATTAATGCAAAGTTAGTATTGTCTGGATTCTAGTCTTAATTTTATATTAATTCAAAGGGTCTTTGAATAGGGCTTTACTTATTTTCAGTATGTGCTGTGGAGACTTTTTAATGGAGATAGTGAAACTGGAATGGAGGTGAACTTTATTTTTTATCATTACTAATGTCGCCATTGAAATCTACTGCTCAAAATTCCAAAGATTCACACAAACACAGTATTTGCAAAAGTATGACACCAACAGTTCAACCCAACTATTTGTTTATTTTTAAAATCAACCATCTCATCTGTCTTGGTTCTTCAGATGCGAAGGGACAAGGAATTGTTTTCATTTTGTGTTGACTTTTCTAAAATCTAAAATATTAGTTCTAAAATTATTATTTCTGTTATTTAGGATTCCTTAGAAGCCTTCCCAAAATTGTCTGAATGTGTTTGCAAATCAAATCTAATATTTTCAATAATGCAGAAAAGGTATAGATTAGATAATTAGATTTAGTTGTCCTTGTGTCCTTGTGCCATTACATGCTAATGGCCCATTTATTTATTATTTATTATTATTTAAACAGCTCAATAGCCAAGGCTCTTTGGTAAACACAGTAATGATAAAAATAGCATCAGACAGTTTTTTGGCACATTTTGGCCAGTATTACATAAATGCAACAGTTTATTTTTATCTCAAGTATGTTCACATTACTCTCTGCAAGTGAGAACATTTAATCTAGAGAATAACATGAAAATCAACATATTGCTGCCTGCATCCCGCCAACAAAGAGGTCCATGCTAGATCTGTGTATACTAGAATGTTCATTGAAATAAAATTAATACAATGAGCTTATGCTGAAAAGAGAAAATGTCTGAATATAGTATAAAAGGTGATTTTGCCTACTTTGTTATGTAGAAGTGAGATTTGCATAAGTCAAAAGATATTCCTCATTTAGGGGGACCAGCTACTCAAGTCTTTTTGCAAAATGGTTGCTAAGTGAAACCACAACTGGTTTATGATCTTACTTCAGTTCGCCTGCGCTTTACAGACCTGCAAAGGTGGCAAATATGAGGATTCGTCATAAAGTTCCTTTTTCATCACCTATGAACCATTATTAAAAAGACATTCACTAAATGAGGACTGCTTGTAAGTTAAGTGCAGTAAAAATAGGCTACTTGCAAAGTATGTATGGTTAAAGGCAAGAAGGCACATGGTCAAGAATAAATAGGTGTTGAATGAACCTGGATTTAAGTGGGGTGCTTCTGGTCATACAGAGTGAATGAAAGAGGACTGAAATACAAAATAAATAAATGAAAGAAGGAACGGATTGAAAGAGAGAGGAATATTCATAGACTCAACTGAGTTGTTGAAATCCTTAAGAAGAAGGTGGTGAGAAGAGCCAAAGGCTTAAAGGAGTGGTATGTTGGTGAAGTGAAAGAAAAAATGGTTTGCAAGAGGAAAAAGAAATGGAGTGGTATAGTAAATGTTTTGATGTAAACTATCACTTCAGCTGTATTTCCTTTTTTTAAAAAAAATATTTATTTAAAACATTTACATAACCACCCATTTTACGCCAAATTCTGAGCAACTCACAACCAAACATAAAAACAGTAATTTGTAAAATAAATGTATTTATTTATATATTTTTATTTAAACCAAAAATATTAAAACCAGAATATGTGGTATTTATTTACAGCCATAGGTTTAGGAAAAATTCATATATAATTGAAACAGTCTACATCTGTTCAGTATATGCCCTCAAACCACTATTTGTCAACATGGTGTTTTCAGATCTTCCTTGCAGCTATTGTAAGCAGCGCAACTTGTTTTCTTACATGTTCATGTACATCAGTTAACAATATATTTTTTTCTACTAAATTATACTAATTCAGATGGATTAACAAAGACATGATGAATCTAGCTCTAGATTCCTGATATAATTTACAGTGTAATAAGTAATGGAGCAAATCTTGGCCTAAGAGTTATTACAGATGCAAAAACGGTGTGTATTTGATAATCTTTTATACCTTCCATCCAAATAGGATGTTGGCATTATTTGAAAACGAAGTTCTATGAAAGTTCATTTTAGGGAATGGGATATAAGAGACTAGGTTTTAGATATCATGAATGGCAGCAGTGAAGGGAAAGGACTAGGAATGTGCCTACCCTATCAATTTGGTAGGATGGCAGATGTCCTTAGGGAAAGGTGGCCTGGTCCCACCAATAACCTGGTCCATGTCATATAGAGTTTTAAAAGTAATAATCAGCAACTTGAATTACAGGAAGGAAATGAGCCAGTGCAGCTAGGGTAACAGTAGTATAATGTGGACAAATTTAGGGGCACCCATTACTGTATGCCCAGCTCCTTTTAGGTTTCTAGCCTGATGCCCCAGCCTCTATACCAAAATAGCTCTCATAAATTATTTGCTATGTTTTGGTACAAAAAAAAAGCAGTGGAACTTATAAATTGTTTTCCAAATATTTAAGAGGAACTAAAGAATCAAACAGATCTTAATCAATCAGCATAAAGAAAGGCTGTACTTTTCCTGTATGCCTTGCCTACTGTAAACAGGACACAGTACAGGGAATGGCAGTGGTAGAGCATCAGCTTTGTATTGGGTCCCAATGAATGGAGGGAACAAAAAATCTCTCAGAAAACTAGCTAGGGAATTCTGAGAGTTGAAATCCATTTCAAGTTGCCATGTTTGGAAAACACTGGAGTAGATGACAGGATCCAAATCACTTAAAACATAACCAATAAGATGAAATTACATTATTTACTAATTATGCAAATATTAGACCTATGTCTCTATAGGGAAAATCAAAAGTTCTTCAAGTTAGAGTGCAGTCCAGGAATGCTAATTTTAAAAGGCCTAATCTTCATATATTTTTATGAATAGGGCCTACCTAAAAATATGTTGTGTTTAGAAATATACAACATATTTTTTTAAAGGCTGTTAAGAAATTTTCAAGAGGTATTTATTTTACTTAGATGTTTTGACTGTTTAATATACCAGCCTTGGCAATTGCCAGCAAATTGCCTTGCTTTTGGTTCTGCAGTAGAAATTTCCTTACTTTGTTTAAACAGATCTTTACACAATAGGTAAGCGTCATTGTGTATGTGTTAGATTGCTTGTGTTGTGAGATAATATGTAGACAAAATAATGTTTTTCCTGTCAAATATTGAGTAGGCATCAATGGCAAAGTGACAGGTGGTTTAAATAGCTGGCATTTACAATGATTTCATGAAGATGTTTTTCTTTTTTGGACAGGCATCAAAAACCTTGATTTGAAAACAGAAGACTGATGAAATCTGTTTTGCAGCACTGTGCAGTTTTATATTTGATTTTCACTTGGTACAAAAGGGTATGAAAATGCAAGAATAGGTTTGCTAGGTCAGTTTAACAGCTCCTCTAGCATATGATTTTGCTTGTGATTTAGAATTATTTACTTTATTTTAATATCTGCTCATGACTTTAAATAACGTTTTAGCAATTAAGACAATTAAGCAAAGTTTTTTTCTGATAAGAAAGTGGAAAGATATGAAAAAAACTCACCTATTCTATCTTTGTATATGATTCTGCTTTGAAAGATACAGGAGCAAAGCTAGTGGGGGAAAACAGCTACAACTGTATTCTGAAAATATTGTATGCTAGTATGAAAGGTGATGTCTCATGCTTGGAATAGGAATTAAAGCAGCTCCTCTTCTGGTAACATTATCTCTTTTAGCAAATAAATTATTGATTAGGTTAGCCATATATGCATAGAAGGACAATATGTATCTTACATCCAGAGTGTGTGAGGACATCTAATTTACTCTCTAGTTGGTGGCTTGAAAGCTATTCTTTAGATCAGTGTTTCTTAGACCCCCTATCAGGTGTCCTCAAAATTAAAATCATTTCCCAAAAATATGTTGAAAAACAAGACAATGTTGAAATCCCACAGAACAGTCAAGAGTTGTAGCAGCAGCGAATGCATCGGTTTTAAATTTTAATATGGTAAGTATTTTTAAACATAATCCATACAACCAAAAGCTTTTTGGGGCCTTGCCAACCAGCAGCAAGGTGGATGCTCCATTTCAGTGGGGTTATCAGTGTACTATTGGGAGACTTGAAAGGACAGGCTGGAAATAAGGGGGTAAATCTATCTTTGTGGTTGCTACGGGTCAAAAATGACTTGACACATAATCATAGTTTTTAAAAGTGTGAAGGAGTCCTGAGAAGTAAAAAAAATGTTTAAGATCATTGCTTTAGATTAAATAAAATAGTGTGAAGATGCTTCATGTAAAACCAAATTTTCTTTCTACAGTGTTTTTGGTATTAGCATGGAATGGTACATGGCATTTACAAGATTTACAAGACAACCATCGCCCTGTTGCATTGTATGGCACTGAATGCTGGGCAGCAACAACAGGGGCCGAAAGCTATCTCCATGCCATGAAAATAAAAATACTCTTTTGGATATCAGGCATTTCCCTTCTTGATCACATCATTACACCATTCAACAACATTTTAATGGGGCACCAATTATAGAGAAGATCAGAGAAGGCCAACTCCGCTGGTATGGACATGTCTAGAGAGCAGCACCTTCCACTGTGGCCAAGACTGCCTACCAACTAGAAGTCACTGGCTGGTGACCTCATGGGCATCCAAAACCGAGATGGCAAGATACCATCAACAAGATATGCAAGCCACGTTCCTGCATCCTGGATACTCAGCTGACTGTGCAAAGTGGCATTCAATGATCCAAAAAATGGACCCTGCACATGCGGGAATAGCTAGGAAGAAGATGGAATGGTACATGGCATAGGTATAATTAAGATCTACCCTTTATTTTATTTAAAGGTATTCTGTGAAGGATTTTTTTTAAACCAAAGCTATGATGATGGGCAATGATACATCTATTTGTTGGTGTTTACTAGATTATAATAAATAATGAGTATATGGTAAAGAAATCAATCTACATATCAATACCAAGGAAATGAGATTTAACAGATTGTGCAAACTATAACTCCAAAGAAAGAGAAAGTGAGGGTATTTGACTTCTGAGGGCTTCCTCCAATCATAGACACAAGAGAATATAATACACTCTGTAAAGAATTCCCTGTTCTTCTTTTCTTTCTCATGGATTTCATTTATTGTGCTAGTTTCTTTTTAAGCCTTTCTGTATGATTGCAAAAGCCAGGCCAATACTTTTTTTATTCTTTGTAGTTAAGAAAGAAAGTTTTAGCACAACACATGATTATATTGTTGTTCAGCAACTATATACAAAATAAGCCTAGCCCAACTGTCTTCAGATGAGATGGAACACAGTCAGTTTTTGGAAGTTATCACACTTCTAAAGGCTGGTAGAGATACTACATAATAATTTCATCCAGTTCTGGCCATCTTTGAAAGGTTACTGGCAGCTACTTTCCATTTCTTCAAAAAGAAAAATCAGAGTGTAAGATGTACAGCAGAATCCATCTGTCTAAAATATGGCAAGTTTCAGCTCCTCTTAGTATGTATTTTAATGGCAAATATTATCCAATTCAGTCAAACATGGGGAAAAAAGAAAGTTATAGCACTTTGTTGGTTTCTAATGATAATCTGGAGGCAGCACAGGAAATATGGAAATCATGAGGAAAAAATGAGCAGGTTACATAATTGGGGTCTATGTTGTGTATTATGGCTCTTGCCTCTCCATCTGGAGAAAATTGATTCATTTCTCAGGCTTTGCTCAGAAACACCAATATTATGAAAACCTGTAATTATTTTTCAAGATGGCAACCAAGTGATTCAGCAAAAAAACTGATTTTTGATCAGCATGCACAGACATACATATCCCTATGTGTATGTATACCTATTGGTGGATATAAAAACAGTTGTATCTAATTACTTCCAAATATCACCACCACCATGTAGAATTTCAGAAGCATGTTATTCTCTAAAGCCCTTTAAATTACTTTTTAAATATCTAGCAGCTGCAAGAAAAGTTCTCTCTCTGATTTGTCATTTAAATGCAATGAATAGTTTCAAAAATACTGCATTATAGTTTGATCGCAAATGACTTTTTCTGGGAACCTGATTTGATAATCAAAATTCAGGAAGCATCATGTAAATTGGTTGAGTAAGACATGTGGTTATTTCTTTTGCTACTAGAACAAATGCACATGCATGTACAATCAATGTAAATATTTGCATGAGTTTTATATTCAGCTTTAGTGAATATTAATGCCTAGATCTATGAAGCTTTTATTCCAGTTTGTGCATAAGAGAGGCCACAGATGAATTAACCATTTATTTGGCATCTGCATTTCACCTTATATTTCAGATATGAAAATTCTCTCAGCAAGGGGCTAAATATTATTTTTCATATTTCTGAACCACCCTTCTGCCTCAAAGAGGGGCTCTGGGTGGTATACAATATAATATAACAAATAAATTAAAAACATATCCAAATTACCATTAAAATTAAAAATTAAATTAGGATTTTTTTAAAAAATAGATTATAGAATAGTGAAAAACATCAAAAAGAGGAGAAATCCTATTATGGTTATTTAACATTGAAGTTTTAAAGGCTTTCAAGGGACTAGCCAGCCCCACAGTTGCGTGTTCCTCTTTGCCCCCACCCCAATGCAAGGCTGCAGACCCCAGGGGTGGGAACCTACTGGTTTAACAACCAGTTTGCTGAGTACAGTTTACAGAAGACTTACCTTCCAGATTACTGCAATCCACTCTACCATGCGACTCAGCTGAGAAGATAAAGCTAGGTAAAGCACAGAGGCGGACAGGCCACCTTGCTAGGTTCGCTCCCAGCTGATCTTCGGAGCGACTGGTTCACCTGAACCAGTCCGGACCGGTAGAATCCCACTCCTGCTTGACCCCTTTATGAAAGGCCAAGCGATTGTAGGCTTTCCTCACTTCTGGATGTTTCACAAAGCAGGGACAACAGCATACTGGACAGATCTCATCAAAGGAATCAAATGAAGAGTGCCTCCCATAAACAATATGATGAATTATAATTTGCAGAAACCCATACTGGATTGGTCATCACTTGAATTAACAAGGTAAAAATGCCAAATCCAGTCTAAACATAAGTATAAGTATAATCTTTATTGTCCTTGTACTTAAATACAATGAAATTGGTTGTATTTCCATCCATCTGACTGTGTAACAAACCATAATAAAAACACAACACAGCAATTACAACTGCTACCTAATTACTATGTCAGGAGGCAGTTTTCTTACAACTCATTTTCGGCTCTGATTCAATTTTCAGTTACTAATAAGGAACAAATATTACTGTACTATAATTATAAATACTTATTACCATAGCAAAAATCCTTGTAAGATTTTCTTGATATACATACTGTATATGTCAAGTTTGACTTCTGGTGACTACATGAACATAACCATGCACTTTTCTTGGCAACCACCTAAGGAAACAGTTCACCTTCTTTCAGAATCTTAAAAAAAACTTTTATGTATGTATGCATGCATGTATTTAAATTCAATTTTTATAGCCACCTATCTCACATTTCTAGCCTAGAGCTCTGTTATTCCCTGCTGGTCTACAACTGAATGCTAACTATGCCTGACTTTGCAATACAATAGTATTAGTTGCAATACAATTAGTAGTAGTAAATACAAGTAGTATTAGAAAAGCAAGTGTTTGTGTGCACATGCCTGCATATGTACCTGCACAACATTTATGGAGAGAAATAAGGTTAGTGAAAGAATGAAAAGGAGCACTGAGAGTCCATAACATTACTTAAACTCTTCCAGATCCCACATATTTCTTCATATATAGAAAGAAAAGTGAAGCAATATTGGAGATTCTGCCAAGCCAAGTAGCCTTTCAATACTCAAATTGTGTTCAGATATCTCCATAGTGATGTGAAAGTACTTGATTCAATTCAGTGCTTCAAATCAATAAAAAAAAATCAGAGTCTTCAAAGATTTGATTTGAATGTGCAATTCAATCAAGTCAAATCTCTCTTTGAAGCTTTGCACAGCACTGTTGCAAATGAAGCATGGATTCCCCACATGATTTTGTACCTGTGAAACATTGGAAAAATAATATCAACAAATCATTTCATTGTAATTCAGACAAAAACTACATAATCATCATCATGTTTATCAATTAATAATGAAGTTTAAGGACACAAAAAAACAGAAATCATCCTTAATACATTTCTATCTATTGATTGAGCAATTCATCCTTCTGTCAATATAATTAATTAATTTATGTAGTGTTTCCTGTATCAATAAAGGAAACCTTATAATTAAAAAAAGAATTTAATAAAATTAATACGTTGTTAGACTTTTAAACAGATTATTGTTCGTTAAATCTGATACTGGGTATTCAGGCTGCTAGCAACTCTCCAAAGGTTTAGGTAAAGTGTTTTTCTTCATCATCATCATCTATGTTTCTGATCTTTTATGTAATATTTTTAAAAGATATGAAAAGTATGAAAAAGCCTTTATATGTCTAAAAAGAAGCCACACTGAGTTGAATCAAACTTTCTCCCAGATGAAAAAGTATATGATTGATACCAAAATATGTGACAGCTGGCAATACTCTCATTTTCCAACTTAAACAAAATGAAATCTTTATTAAACTGTCTCAGATTCTTTAGTGGAGCAAATGCTACTTTAAAAAAAACAGAACAAAGATGCATTATATACCTTTCAAAATATTGAGCACTGAGGAGGTATCCAAAATATCTTATTTTTAATTTCAATTATAAAAAATGGTAGCTGAACTTTGGAAATTGATTCACTTTTTTAGCAGATTTGCTTACCATTTGCTACAGTCACAAGAAAAACCATCTGTTGTGAGATTCATCAATGGATCTAGGATTAAATGTCAAAATTAATTTATTTTGTACCATAATGGCTCTAGATAGTTCTAATTTCTTCCTTTTGTTATTGGTTTTGCTTTGTTTTTGAGAGGAATTGTCAATTTATTTTTCAAGGGTAATTGCCCCATCTTTTTTAGCAGTTTAACGTTTAGATATTAGTAAGCAGTGAGGAAGTTTACATTAATTTTAAACCAGGCCTGTACATATATGCATAGAAGATATTCCTCAAAAAAAAATCCCAAATGTACTAAATAGATCCATCTCCTTTATCCTTAAATAATTTATACTGATAAAAACACAGATTTTATCAGCATACATTATTTAAGGGTAAAGGAGATAGATCTCTCTGAATTTAGTTGTTATTAGTACTAAATGATTCTATATATCTAAAATAGATCAATACAGCCTAATTTAAATCACAGTTTCTCCACCTAGCAGTTTAAAGATGTATGGACTTGCTGGCTAGGGAATTCTGGGAATTGAAATCCACACATCTTAAAGTTGCTGAGGTTAAGAAATATTGATTTAGACAAGTCAAATGCTCAATGGAAAACCACAAACAAGGCAATAGCATACTGTTCCCACTGTTACTGATCATATATATAATTTTTGAACTAATTTTTTCTGTTTGCCTATTATGCTTTTTCAGTGAATCTTAGTTTTTGTTTAAAGTGATGGATTTGATCAATAAATTATTTGCTATCAAGTTGGTGTCAAAACTCTTAGCAACCATATAGCTAGCTAGACCATTCTGCAAAACAATCTGTTCTCAACCTTGCTCTATGGGTGTCTCATAAGTATAACCACTCCTGCCGGTCATCCTCTTCCTTCTCTTTTCTTCCACCTTTCCCAACATTACTGAGTTCAGAAAAGAGCTGGACTTTGCATAATGTGTCTAAAATGTAATAGAATAAGCTTGTCATTTGTGCCTCAAGTGAATGCTCAGGACACTTAAAATAATGATATCTGGTCTGATAAAGGGTTAAAAACTATTCTTAGCATTTCTGCTAAACTTGGAGAGATTTGATATATACTCTCTTGCAGTATATGCATAATATTTAAGCAATCTAACATTAGATAGAATAGTTATAATGCTTAGCAATTAAAAA